AAGAAATGTCCCCACAAAAGGCTGTATGATAGGGGAGGAGTGAACTATGAACATTGTCTAAAGTTAAAATCTCTATTATATGAACAAAAGGGGGAAAAACAAATGCAGGCTACACATATGGAGATGGGGCTAGAGTTATTGGAGATTGTGTTGTAAAGAAGGAATATATGGCTGTCTTACACAAAACAAAAAGGATATTTGTTGCTTTGATAATTTCATTTTCATTGCCGTTTGTTCATGGTCCAAGAAAAAAAAAAACCCCAAAAAAAAATCAAGTACAAGTACAGTTCCCTCATTATTTTGCACCCTGCTTTTGTACGTACGAGCTTTTTTCACTCATCTCTTTCTTTTACATTGGAGAGGTAGCTAAGGGAGTTCAGTCTAAACCCTCCCGACTGATCTGATATCGTCTTAATTATATTAAGACGGGTCTTATTTTAATCTGAAAATAATCAGGACGAGACTTTACGGGACGAGATAAGAAAGGGGTTCAAGACGGGACGGGACACGGAATTACCATCAAAACATCCCGTCCCGTCTCGAATATTATATATATTATTTTTTATTTTAAATATATTAATTATATTAATATAATTTATACTTATATTAATTACATCAATTATAATTTTAATACTTGCAATTCTTATTTAAAACTAAAGTTTTTTTATATTGATAATTTTAGTGGCATAGAGTAAACATGATGATATCTTTTTTATAATATATTAATTATATTAATATAATTTATTTTTATATTTATCTATTTAATAACTTTTATTTATAATATATTTCTTGCTTATTTTTAGAAGAGTAATTAGCTTAGTACATCTTCATTAAAGTAAAAGAACAATAATTTGATGTTGTGTTTGACTTGCCTGTTGTTGCTAATCTTATAGCATAAAGATCACTTATATTTGTTATTATAATATGTAGTTGTGATTAATATAATTCAATAACTAATTTTAAATTATTGTTATTTATGTGCTTGTGTTGTTTTGATTTTAAACTTAATAAATTATATGATTTAAAATTTTAATGAACGTTATTACCCAGATTTTTTTTGATATTATTCCATTTATCGGGACGACGGGACGTCTCGATCTTATCCCGATCTCATCCCGACTCTTAACGAGAGGGGACGACTTTTGAGACGGGATGATTTTTGAAACAGGACGGGACACATGACTAAAATTCAATCTCGATCTTTTTTTAGGATGAGACACGGGATAAGGGTGTCCCAATCCTATCTCGTCCCGTGAACACTGTACCCACGAACACTGTCGTTTTGATTTTTTTTTTGGCATAAAGGTAACAGCATTAGAGAGAAACAAACAAAGCAAAATAGTTAAGAGAAAAAGACAATGGCGGAGTAAAATTTTCAGAAAAATAAAGTATAAATATCAGTTTAAATAATTATAAATTAAGAGTGTAAATTATAACTAAAATATTTAAATTTTTAAATATAACTGTTACTTTATAATTGGGAGACTCATATGCAATTGTTTAAATTAATTTTTTTAAAAAAATTATTAAGATCCAACTATTATTAATTCTAACTTTTTAAGGTTTTACTCACATTCTATCAATAACTAAATCTTGAAAAGCATTTCCTAAATTATAGCGCATTAGATCGATGCAAATTTTGAGGTGGATCTGGGGATATCGTCTTCATATTCGTATCATGAACATGTTGAATGAGCAAACAGTTTGGCCAAAGAGAGAGAGCGAGAGCAAACAGTGGTTTTGATTTATTAATCATTGCACGTATTATCACCTGGTGTCAATTATTGTTTGGGGTTTGTACTATTTTTTCTTCTGAGGTTCTCTCTTTTTAAGCAGCCCATGGCTTGCACATGTTTTTGTTGGGCTTCATAATTTCCATGTTTCTTCTTGCATTGCCACTTTCCAATCCATGCGTGCGTATTAAAGGGGGAACACTAACATTGATGTCGTTTTGACGTAGTTATATTGAATTGGTCCGGTTATTAAGCCAGTCCAAATATTAGTTTAAAAGTTAATGGTCAAATCTATACCAAACCAGTCAAAATCAAAATCTTGAACTGACGATTTATTCATTTAATCAAGTGAGTTACTATATTTCCATCCTATGGCTATATTTTTAGAAAGAAAAATGCCGACAAATCAGGGTAAAAAATAGATTACTGTTAGTAGGACTATGCAAAAATCCTCTAGTCCAATGTAGTCTAGTCAAACTCAAGGCAAATCCATTCATGTTTGGTTCAGACAAAAATTGGTCTTTTAAAACTAAAAAGATTAAATTCTTTACTCAAGTTAGACTAGATAAGAGATCGAGTATTTGAACCACTTGATCCAGTTTGGTATTATAAATTTATTCAATATAATTATAATTAATTTATTAATTATTGTTAGAATAAGTTAATTTAAAATAATAATTAGTATTTTTGTTGTTTTATACTTGTGAAGTCATGAATAATGATCAAAATTCTAGCATTGACCAACATTAATCTTTTCCTTTTATTGGTAAAATTTGTTGTTAATTTGGTGTAATGGACTTCAGATATGTTGAAGGTTATTTAATGTTGTTGAAATTTGTTTAATTTGAATAATTTGTGTTGTAATTGAAATACTTTTTGCTGTTGTTGGAAATTATTGTGAATTTATAATTGTCATTGTTGTAATAAATTTTATATGACTATAAGTAATTTTATTATGTTAAAATAAATTACTACATCTTATAGATGAAAAGGAAAAAAAGTGAGATATTGGACAAGATTGGGATTAGTCTCCTAGTCTTACTGGACCAATCCACTTTTCTTTAGCTTCAGGTTATACTAGGACCAGATTACGGGTTACTTAACTTAATCCTTTTCATGAAAAGGGTTAGAATTCGAGTTAGATCGAAGTCTTGTTGAGTTAGTTTTTTGTGTAGCCCTAACTGATAAGTCCCATTAATAGTAAAACATCGAATTCGAGACCTCTCAGCAGCCACTTTTGTTAGTGTCTCTCAATGGCCAAATTTAGTCCATTCAAATTATCAAAATTTCATCCATATTCAGATCAAATAGCTTAAAAAATATATGTGGATAATTTATTTTTAAATAATTAAAAATACATTTTAAAAGATTATGTAAGGTTGATAATTTGATAGGGCTAAGCTAGATTTTGATTAAACAGGTATAAACTATTTAAATAAGTATGTCTCATTATAAATTTAAGCCTGACCTTTTTGTTAAATAGACTTGGCTAAAATTTAAACAGGAGAAGTGGTATGTTTTTACAGGTCGGCTAGGCTTATTTAACAAAAAAAGCTCATAATATTAAAATAAAAAAATGGGCTTGCAAAGTCATGCAATTTGATATGTTTAAATTTTAACTTTACCTATTTAACTCAAAAACCAAGCTTGAATTTATAATTAAGCATATTTATTTAAATAAGCTATGCCCATTCGGTCAAAATTTAGCTTAGACCTGACCTGTTTTCAGTTCACATGATCTTTCAAATTATATTTTTCATTATTTAAAAATAAATCATTGACATATATTTTTAAAAGCCATTTAATAATAGACCAGGTTTGGCCACTGAGAGACACTATGGAAAGTGATTGCCGAGAGCATCTAGGTCCGCAAAACATCATGTATTGAAAAGGAAAAATGGCCTGATAGAATCAACAAGTGCATAAATAAGCTAACAAAAAGTTGTGTTAACTTAACTGATAGTTTTAAATTCTAGTTTCTAAGTATATAATTGTGTTAAAACCTCGATTGAGCTTTATTGTATTGTCCTCATAGTCTTCTCTAATTAATTTAACTTGATTTATGATCCATTTAGAATTTTACTTTTTACATTCAAAAAATAAAATTTCACTTTTAAAATGTCGAAAGTTGTTTTAGTAAAATATTTTTTAAAAAATACATCTAAATAGTGCTTGAATGTAAATTTAAAAAATGTAACTATTTAACGTTTTTGTAATGTGCTTTGAAAATGTGATCCCTTCGATTTTTGATTTGACCATGTTATTTCAAAATTTTTAATAACCTTTTTACTTTTAACCTTTCTTTATATTCTTGTCACAAACAAAAATTCTTTATGTTTTCTACCAGTGAGATTATTTTTTACAATTATTTTTATTTTACTATTAATATTTTAAGTGTGACTTTTAATAAAAAAATAAATATAGTTCACGATTCAATTAGAAACCAAATTATTCATTATAAATTGAACATCTAGTTATGTTAATTTTTAATATTAATGCGTGTTGAAGCATTTATTACACAATTTTTTTCAACATATTCTTCTTCAACGTATCAAATTTTATGTCATTAAAAATTTTTTATTTCAAACTCCTCTTTAACTTTTTCTATATTTTTCATCAGCATAAATTTGAATTCAATAAATGACCTAAATTTATTAACTTAATAAATGTCTTAATTATACTCATTAAACTTTATTAATACTAACAAATTATAAATATATTTTTTAAACAAAATTTCAAAACAATCCTCATGAGCAACACTCCTCACAAAAATTGTCACATACAAAAAATTAATATTTGATGCTTTTTGAATATCATATAATAAAATTTGTTGACATCGTTCAATTATATCATACACAAATTAACAAATTAATTGATATTAATTTTTTTAATAGAATACTTATTTATAATTTTATAAAACTTTTTTGTAATTTTTATGTCAATTTTTACAATTTTTTAACCAATTAATTGTTAAAGTCAACATTTTTAATGATAAAATATTCAATATATTATTTTTAAATATTAAAAAAATAAAATTACAATATATGTAAATTTTAAATACCAAATGCTTTTGAATTAATAGTTAAAAAATAAAAATATTTTTTAACTTATTATCTTTAATAAAAGGGAAAAAACTTAAAACTATTTTAATAATCAGCAGACATGTTAAATCCCATAAAACTTGTATGAACAGGAGCTTTTATTCTATAAATATTTAATTTAATATCCAACATTTTGTTAAGCTTCCCACTCAGCAACTCCTAGAAACTTCTCAAATGTTTTCATTTCGACTCCCACGCTTTTTTCACAAGACTTGATTGAAGCACAGTGGAAAAGGATCAGAGACGCGGGAATAAACATTTTCTCGAGAAAATCAGAAGATTCCTGTCAATCCCAGAACTTTCAAGAAGGCGCTATTTCATATCACTTGCATTTACATCTGCTTGATATAAACTCACAAACTCACATGTTTGATCACCCAGGAAACCAACAAAAAGAAACAAGGAAGATAGTTAATCTGCTTACATCAGAAGCGTAAACACAGGCCATCCAAAAGAAGAATGTCTCTGTTCCAAACCCTGTTGAACCGGAGTGAACTGTTCGGGCCTTTTCGATTTCTCATCAATGAAAATTCAGACACCGAGATGGATTGGAGGGAGACCCGTGAAGCCCACATCTTCGAAATCGATCTCCCGGGGCTTACCAGAGAGGACGTGAAGCTCGAAGTTCATGAAAATAGTGTCCTCTGTATCAGCGCAGAGAGAAAAGTGAAAGAAGAAGAAGACAATGATGAGACTAAAGAGGAGAAGAAGAGCCTCAGATGGCACTGCAAGGAGAGACAAACCATGGGAACCATCTCGAGGAAATTCAGGTTACCTGAGAATGCGAAGGTTGAAGAGATTAAGGCCACAATGAGTGATGGAGTGTTGAAAATTACAGTGCCTAAGGATGAGACCAAGAAGAAGCACAAGCAGCAAAAGAAGGAGATTGATATTTCCGGAGACGATGATGGGGCTGCACGTAAAGGGATTGGTCGCTTTGTTTGTTGCAAGGCTTAGATGCGACTTATCCAGAAGATTTCAATTTGATGAAGGGTTTGATTTTTTTTTTTTTTGTCTTGGTGTGAATATGTGTTTATAATTGGTCTGTGAATATGCAAGGTCCATTTGTTAAATCTTCTGCCCTTTGTTCTCTTGGATAGTAATTTTGGGATTGAAAAGGTTTGCAGCTTTTCTTCTTGTTATTGTTGCTGTTGTTCATGTGTGTGTGTGTGTGCGCGCATGTAAATTGAAGTTGGTGCTGAAAGCAAGAAACTTGGAATTTTTCTGGTTTTAATGGTCTGATATAATATAATAGGGAATCTTGATTTAGTTGAATTATGATTTATAATAGATTTTGTTTGATATGATTATTTGATTAGGAGGTATTTAAGTATTGTTAAATTCAATTAGAGATAACTTTTTTAATGCTCGAGATTGATCACAGTTCTTCCTTCCTAGGAAATGTATTTTGTATTAAAAAAATATGAATCATATTCAAGCCGAGAGAGAAATATATAAAACTTATTGTGAAGAATCACCAAAAAATTTTTAATGAAAAATTAGTTTTTTTTTTTATTAGCAGGGTTTGAATATTATTCGCTACGCACTTCATCTTTACCATTCCACTTAATTTTAAGTGCCAGTAGTTTTTTTCCCCTGTGATACATCAGAGGAATGTTACCGCAACCATTTTAAAAAAATTGTAAAACTTGTGGTTGACTTCAATTATTGCTAGCCGTCTAAAGGTGCCTCAACAGGGAAGCCTTAAGCCTCCCCCTTAAACTCTGAAAAAATTTTCTTATAAGCTTCATCCTCTCTTGGGGATTGAATTAAGCATACGCTTCTTCCCAGTTCTTGAAATGGTCAAATCCACGTGTTGGCATGTCAACAATTTATGGTAAAGAGAGTGGCCACCACGTTTGGTTTGGTTTAGCTCTGAGGATTTAAATACATGACATTTGCCAGAACGTAGCAGCACGATATCTGTCAGCGCTAGCTAGCGTAGCAGCTGCCCTGTTTCTCAAAACATGAATCTCCACCATGTTCCTCTGTTTTTGCTTCTGGTCATCATCACTACATGTTGTTTAGAAGCAGAGGCAAATGTGGGGAAGAAATCAGTGAAGACCGTACCATCTCAAGCATTGCTTTCAACTGGTCACTATCATACAACATGCTCTATGCTGAAGCCATTATCAACCAGAAGGTCACGGCTTGGGTTAAAAAGGACCCCACCTTGCTCCTTCCCTCATTCGCCTTCATTTCCATGACTGTGCTGTTAGAGTAATCACAACTCTCTCTCTCTCTATGTTTCCTTTGTTTCTTTGCTAAACTCTTACTCAAAATTACCAAAAGGGTGGCTTAATTTGGCTAAAAGAGACAACAAGGATGACAAGAAATCCAAGGAAGAGGAAATTTCAGCTTTAACTCTATGGACTGTTTATTTTTGTGATAAAATGCTACTTTCTATTTTTTTTAACTAACTCTAATTTAATCAGTGGGCAAATAGAATTGAAGGAAAAAAAGTTTCCTTGTGATTGGAGCAGATAGTCTTTTTGTTTATTTAGTTTAGTTGTTATTTAGACTTCTAGTACCCGAAAAAAAAAAAGAAGAAGAAAAAAGTTCAGATAGACTAATCATGATTAAACTTTCAGGATGAACATACCTTTTAGTTTATTTATCTCGGCCAATTTTATATATTTCTTGACTATTCACCTCTAGCTTGTGCATTGGTCATCACATGATTATTTTCGCATCTTATATTCTGTCTGAGAATCTCTCATTGGCAGAGAGCCAACCGGAAAAAAAAAAAAATTGTCAAGAGCATTAATTCATTTCTGGTTATTGAAGTACATTTGACATGGAAAAAAAAAAAAATTCCAGGGATGCGATGCCTCGATTCTGCTAAACCATTCAAACAGTGAGAGGGCAGCTTATGAGAGCAGAACCCTGAGAGGATTCCAAGTGATAGATGACATAAAAGCAGAAATAGAGAAAATATGCCCTAAAAATGTGTCTTGTGCAGACATTCTCGCTGCTGCTGCAAGAGATGCCACCATTGTTGCAGGAGGGCCATTTTGGGAAGTCCTATTTGGCCGTAAAGACGGCAGAATCTCCATAGCCAGAGAAGCTAGCTTGGTCCCTCAATGCCGTAAAAACATCACAGCCCTTCTCCACTTCTTCCAAGATCTAGGCCTTGACATACTTGACTTGGTTTCTCTCTCTGGTTCACACACCATAGGGAGAAGCACTTTGTCTCCTTCATGGATAGGGTTTATAATTTCATTGGCACTGGAAACCCAGACCCATCACTTAACATATATTACCTGAACATGCTCAAGAGAAGATGCAGAAGAGAAATGGATTTGGTTCACTTGATGTGATAAGTCCAAGGACCTTTTACAATGTTTATTATACAAATCTTGTGAGGAAGGTGGGTTTGCTGTCTACAGATCAGTTATTGTATTCAGATTCAAAGACTGGTCCTTTTGTGCATGCATTTGCAACTCAGCCTTTCCTTTTCAGTAGCCAGTTTGCGGCATCAATGGTGAAGCTTGGGAATGTTCATGTCTTGAGCAGGCCACATGAAGGGGAAATCAGAACCAACTGCAACTATGCCGATCCTTTTTGAAGGGGTCCACGAAGATGAATTTATATGTCTCTGATAAATTTGTCTACAGTCTAGCTATGAGTTTATGAGTTGCTGAATTCATCCTGATAAACTTTATTTATTTATTTTTTAAACATTTGGGACGTCACTTGCAGTTATTTTTATTTTTTTTTATTGAATTTGTACTGGAAACTTCACATAGTTTCGGTAATAATGAAATGAGTTGTCGTGTATGATGTTTGTTTCCATTTCTTGAAAATTTTGACGTGAGTGAACTGTGATTATAATAAAGTGAAATAGTCAAACCACGCCTGATTCAGGGATGATGAAATTCTTGGACCCAAATTTGCATCTATTGGTGATTTGATTCTTAAATTTAATCTGTTTTTCAGGTCCTTAAATTTCATAACCATATACAATTAATTCTAATGATCTGAAGAGAAAATAATATTTAAATCTTGCTACTTACGTGAGAATTGTTAATGGGCAATTTATAAATATTTTTATAAATATTTTTTAAAGCAAAAAACATGTATGGGCTCTGGTCTAAAAACATGTATTGGCACTGGTCAATTCCCAAACTCAACTCACTTAAAAAAGAGAAAATTATACTATTTAAGATTAATTATACATGATTATGATGAAACTTTAAGAATTTGATAGATAAATTTTTAATTTGAGACTAAATTCAATAAAAGATTATACAATTCATTATTTGTATGCAACTGAACGATTATACAAAGATCTTAATGTCTCCAGTCTATACTATCTTCTGGAAAGTTAAAAAAAAAAAAAAAAAAAAGGTTGGGGAGAATGACTTAAACGCGCGCACAATTATACTGACTCAAAAGTTTTATCGACTGGTGAAATTATTTTGCAGCCCCAAGGTGTTGAGATGTAGATATATTTCCAAATAAAATGACCCATTTGTCCTTACACCATCCTCACTGAATCTGTCATCTGCTTCCTCCTCTAGCCACTCTTTTTCCTCGCTTTCAACTCGCCCAGAGATGTTCATGCCGCCGCAGCTGAGGCCGCTGCCACGGAGATATTCAGTCCTTCGACTGAATGCCCAAACTAGGTATCAATGTGGAGGCACATTTACTTACAAACACTCATCCATCAAATAATTTTATCTCCCACAAGCCAAACAAAAAGATTAATTTAATCCCTCTTGTTCCCAGTTTACAAACTTAAGTCTAATCTACACAAGATCAAACAGGCAATTTAGGAACACCTACCCTACCATTTCACCAAGAACCGTAATCATTCTTCTTCTCCAATCTCCTCGCCGTCGATTCCGTCTTGGACGTCCCCTTCATAGCCGCCTCCCAAATCACAGATTCATCTCCTTCATCCCAAGGGGCCGCCTGGGCCGTACCACTCACGCACAACGGTGACGACGCCGACAACGAGGCCGGCCTTGGACCGGAGTGATAAAGTAAGCAGACGTCGTGAGGGGTCAGGGGCTTGCTTATTCGTGACGCCGTCCCATGTGGTTATTCTTCCATTAGAGGCTTTGTCTTCAACAATATCAGAGAGAAGGCGTGCGATGTGGCGAAGGAAGATGAAGATGTCGGCAGATTCAGGGAGAACCAGAGAAGGGCAGATGTGTCATTTTATTTTTTATTTTGGGAAAATTATTCGCACCTACATCAATAATTTAACCGTTGGTGGGATTTCAAAGTAATTACAATTGTTATGAGGGACTTTGGAGTAATTCTCCCTATTTTTTGCTTCTTTTTTTGGTTTTAAGTCTTATGTGGATTCACCTCAACCACGCAATTAGTTTGACTTAAATTGCTTTATCTCGCCTCTAATGATTTGATATAAGTGCGCCCACCCCCCCCCCCTTTTTGTCTACATAATTGTAGATCCAAGTAAATATGAAAAAATAACTTGATGTAAAACTAAACTAGTGCCCTTGATTCTTTCTTCCAGAATATACTAGCATCTACATATATTTTTTAGTTTATATATTTTTTAGGAGAAACCAGGACTCAAGACTTGACATATAATGGTAAATTACTCAACATGTTTCTTATACTGAATTCTCCCTCTCCTCCCTATTATTTACAACGCCTATTATAAGGAATTTTTGTTATCCTTAAAATAAAGCACTTAATGAGATTTTACTTAATTTTTTTAATATTACTCTCATTAAACTCATTAATTATGAAAGATAATATAATATAAATTTACTTTTTTATTTAAATAATGAGTTAAGTTAGAAGTTTATTCTATTTTTTTTTGATAAAGTTAATAATTTAATCACACTTTTTTTAGTAAGATAGTCAAGGGTGCTTTATAAAAAAAAAATAAATAGAGGGAGTGTAGTCTTGGATTAATTCAAAGTACCTACTTGCATCCTATTTTATTTGTTTACTTTCTTTCTTTCTTTCTTTCTTTGTTTTTTTTTTTTGCATAAAACATCCATCATTTTAAGCCTGCTTCGCATCAAGTTAAGGAGGTTTTAATGGGTTGATAATCCGGACAAATTAAAAGAAAAATAACAATTAAAGATTTCATAAGAATATTATTTTTAATTATAAACATTAAATTATTGAAATCTTAATAATAAATTATGGCCCTTACTTATAATAAAGTATTTGTTTATTGATTAGTTTGAGACTCACAATTGATTTTTGTAAATTTTTAAATACTATAAAAATTTTTAAAAATTTTTTATTAATTTTTCAAACAATTTATCTATATATTAACAGTAAAAAAATTACAAATAATTGACTTAAAATTCACCATTATTTATCATAAATTTTCAACTAAAGTGTATTTTATTGATTTTTTAAGTGATTTATTTGCATAGTAACAATCAAAAATTGATATTTACAATTAACTTTTATAAATTTTCAACTGATGTTATAAATAATCTTAAATATATTTTGTTAATTTTTTAATTAATTATTCACATTTTTTAATTACATGTATAAACTATGATCTATTATTAAGAATTCAATAATTAAGAGTTTGTAATTATAATTAAAGGTTTTATAGGGTTCCCAGTTGTCATTGTCCCTAACCCAAATTGAGTTGAGATGGGATTATTTTGAGTGAAAGTTCTACTATCAAATGATTAGATAATTTCTCTCCTAAAAAGTTTAAATCTTAGTTCGTTGTGAAATTTTTTTTTCGTTAATCCAATTCCATTGATAACGCATCCCATTTTTAAAGCTCCAACTTCATGCCCACGTGTATGAGTAAGGGCACTTAACAGTTCAATATGTTAAATACTACATACATACAAATATAAAAATGATTGATCCGGACCAGCGTTTAAAAGGGCCCGTAAAGATTGGTGCATAGACAAGCAATAAAAAAAAAAAGCAAAGCTAATCGCACGCTGCACGATCACTCATCAAATTATTGGGTGAACAGCAGAGACATGGATGGACAAATCTGATCATAAAAGCAAAACAATTACTGCAAGCGGAAATAAAAGGAGACAGATCGTTCAATCAGAAAGAGAAAGAAGAAAAATTACTTGCTTTTGATATCAAACCCAAGAGCCATGGCGAAGAAGGCTGTGCTGATCGGGATCAACTATCCAGGAACCAAGGCGGAGCTCAGAGGTTGCATCAACGATGTATGGAGGATGCACAGATGCCTGATCCAGCGGTACGGCTTCTCCGAGGACGACATCACCGTCTTGATCGACACCGACGACTCCTACACCCAGCCCACCGGAAAGAACATCCGATCGGCTATTACGAGCCTCGTGCGCTCCGCCGAACCTGGAGACGTCTTGTTCGTGCACTACAGCGGTCACGGTACGCGCCTCCCTGCCGAGACCGGCGAGGACGATGACACTGGCTACGACGAGTGCATTGTTCCTTGCGACATGAATCTCATCACCGGTCAACTCTTTCTCCTTTTTCACTTTTTGCCTTCCGTTGCTATATTACGTTCCCTTTTATCATCATCATCATTTTTCTCTCGCTTTCCCTCTTTGGATGAACATTACCGAGATCTTCATTGGGAAACTACATGTAAAAGCACTTCCGAGTTAGAGAAATGATCATAGCATTATTTTAGATATGCGATGGCTAGAAACTAGTGACGTTACGCATAAATTCTTTAGTTCTGGGAATCTGGAATCAAAATGTTGTGCTCTCTGGAAACTAGTTGTAAACTCCTTTTTGTGATGAATCTGAATATTTCTTGGACATTCATTCGATATCTTTGACGTAGCCAACCATATCCTCTTTAATTGGCACTATCGTTTCAATATTACTGCCAAGCAGGCAGAACACCTGTAGGTTATGAGCACCGTGAAATTTTCCATCTTCCTGAGATTTGATTACCCAACGTAAATTTTGATTGAGCAACACTTGATATCCCATCAAATTGAGGGAACTTGATTCTTTCTGGGGAAAAAGCATTTTTATTTAAGATCGCTGTACGGGTAACATCACGTTAGAAGTTCATCCTCCACTATTAGTATAGTCCAAAGGCATAATTTTTATTGCTGTAATGTTTAACTAGGCATATTCCAAAAGAACAGCAATATCTTGTGAAATCAGAATCACTTGTGTTGGCATGCTTCTAGCTGGAAACAAATCTTAACATGTTTGCTTGTTCAACAGATGATGATTTCAAGGAATTTGTAGACGAGGTGCCTAGAGGCTGTAAGCTCACAATTGTATCAGATTCTTGCCACAGTGGTGGCCTGATTGAAGAAACCAAGGAACAGATAGGAGAAAGCACAGCAGGGGGAGAACGTGGTGAACATGATTCAGGCTCTGGTTTTGGATTCAGAAGCTTTGTGAAACAAACTGTTGAAGATGCAATTGAGTCTCGCGGCATTCACATCCCTTCAGCACTACGTCGCCACAGGCATAGGGAAGATGATGAGGAAGAAAGAGATTTTGTAGTTTCACGCGAGAGTGATAATGGCTACGTGAAGAGCAGGTCTCTGCCTCTATCGACCCTCATTGATATCCTGAAGCAGAAAACTGGGAAAGAAGATATAGATGTGGGGAAGCTGAGACCTACTCTGTTTGATGTGTTTGGGGAAGATGCTAGCCCCAAAGTGAAGAAGTTCATGAAAATTGTGTTTACCAAGTTCCAACAAGGAAATGCTGAAGGTGGAGAGGGTGGTGGGATTTTGGGCATGGTGGGTAGTCTTGCCCAAGACTTTCTCAAACAAAAGCTAAATGATGAGGAATATGCGAAACCTGCCTTGCAGACACAAGTGGAGAGCAAGCACGAGGTGTATGCTGGATCGACTAGTCGCCGTCTTCCAGCTGGTGGAATTCTGATGAGTGGTTGCCAGTCTGACCAAACTTCTGCAGATGCAAGCCCTGCTGGAGATTCTGATAATGCCTATGGAGCCTTTAGTAACGCAATTCAGGCTATAATAGAGGAAACTGATGGTGCTGTTACAAACCAAGAGCTTGTGACGAAGGCTAGGGAGAAGCTAGGGGGGCAGGGCTTCACTCAGAAACCTGGACTCTATTGCAATGATCACCATGTTGATGCTCCTTTTGTGTGCTGATATAATTTTACATTGCAGAGAAATAGAGAAACATAATAAGATATGCTTGAGTGTTTTTGAGCGTGCTCATGTATTTGAGTTTGGGACAATGAGTCATGCACAAGGGAATATTTACTCCATATATCATTTCAATGATAATGTATTGTGATTGATACAAACTAGTTCAGACTGGACACTATATATCTGATACAACCTAAGCATCTACTGTCTTTCACTTGCTCAGAGACCTTTACAAATATACAAAGTGCAATTATATGCCAAAAATGGGTAATGCTATCCAAAAAAATCACAAAAAAATGAGACTGCACGATTCTATTGCAAGATGCAGAGGATGAGTCCTTCTCCCCTCCAAAAATTGTCCATATCTCCAAACAAAAACTGCACGTTTCGAACCAAAAGTGCTCCTGCAGTTCAAACCTCCAGATGCTAGCAACAATGAAAGCAACTTTCTGGAGGCAGCAATCAGTTGCCTCTTTGACAAAAAAACAACAAAAAACAAAAAAGGTGACAAAAATATGTTGTCCCAGGTCAATCATCGATTTCTTGTACCCATGCTAAACCTGTGATATGTCAGAAGTCAAAATTAGATTGGCTAGAAAATCACCTTTTCACAATGTATGACATCAAAATCATCAATATAAAGCATAATATAACTTAGGCTCTTGGTCTTTTGATTAAGACAAAGGTTTTTTGTTTCAAATGCGAATTGTATTTTAGCAGAGTGAAGAGCAGTATCATCTTTATCTTTTACTATTTTTGAGGCACTAGACTCAGTCAATTTGCTTCCAAGAGTTACTTACCCATACAGGATTTCAGCTTGATCATAGAATAAAACAGACCTCTATATACATTAGACACACAAGTATCTCATTTTCTATCTTCTGCATGAGCAAAATACTAAGTGCAAACCAGAGAGAGAGAGAGAGAGAACCTTGAAGCACAGCTTCAACTGCTGCATTAGGAACAAGAAGACCAACTATACGTTGGTTATCTGTAGTAGTTTCAATGCGTACAACACGTAGTCTCCTATGGCTTAGACGTGCCTGTAGAGATTGTTAAATGCGGTCTTGAGAAATTTTTCTTCATGAGAATTATCTTAAAAGAAATAATTCTTGAAAGTGCAGACTATTAGAAAGACATCTCAGTCATGGCTAAAGTCAGAAGCATTTCATAATTCTAAAATGGTGGGACCCCTCAACCTTGGATGCCTGTCAGGAAAGCAGGAACTTGTTTGGAAGGTACTATAACTTATTAATCAAAATCTTGTATAATCATCAAAGCCATTTGCCACTTATTTTCCCCCAATGAATCTAGTCATTCAAAACTCCACACAACTAAACCCAGATCAAAATGTTAACACAATTTTATCCCGAGAATGTTTCAGATTCTGCTATGTATATGCTGGCTAAGTAGTTAAGTACCTGATTAGATAAGGCCTTCTCTATAGTTCCCCAGACTGGAAGAATAAGGCCACCTAAGACATTTACTTCCTGCAGTCTTCTGCCAACTGTACAGAATTTGCCAATCTTACAATTGGGACCATGCATGCACTGCCAAGAGAGGTTATAAAAAAAAATGTCAGATAATGTAGAGCCATCAAAAACTTCACATGTATTCACCTTAAGTCTAAAAGGGCGTATATGCAGTTAATAATGGACATGCATACTGGAATATCTATGTTTAGATAGATAATGTTACAGATTAAAAACAGATGAGCAATGGCAAGTTAACTGTAGACATACTGTTAGGACCTGCAACTGTAGGCAATATATTGAAGAGAAAAATGCTTGTGTATCCTCTATTACGTTTGGAAAATGTAGAGAATACAATCACTCCTACTGTTTAGCCGATAAACAAGGAAAATAAGAGCTCACAGCCCAGAAAATGAAGGAAAAATACTCTCAAAACAGCCTGGTTTTCGAGAGATCAGGTCCTCTCCTCTCAGCCAACAATACTTGCCTTCCCCCACTAACCTTACATACATCCACTAAGCACACCCACTAATCTGACAGTGTCAGGGTCCGTTATCCTTCCAATTCCCCATTTCGCCCCTACTTACCCTGCTGGACATCCTGAGCTTCTTGGGCTGAATCCAAATTCTGAATATTGTTCCCTCTGGCCTCTCTCTTATACACTCGGCCCCATAGGTTGGCAGGTCCAACACATACATAGAATGACAACAGCAATGCAAAATTTAAAATAATTAATCAAATCATGATCTCAGTGTATATGCCAACTGCACCACAAAGATACAGCAATGGATTCACACGCGCACAAAAAACAGTTACAACAATCGAAATATGACAAGAGAGCGGATCTCAGGGCACCAACGTTAAATGATTTTCCCAATATCAATGATGTGTGTGTGTGATTGTGTGCATATAAAATGACTTCTTTTTTCCTTATACAAATAACATGACTTCTTTCCCACGTAGAAATATTCAGTGACCTTTGAACCATAAAAGATCATTCGTGATTATACTTGTTCTGTTGAGAGAAGGGGCAGAGAACAGCAAATGGCAATGGCACTAACTAATATCAAATAAATGTTCCAAAATAGACTCTATACACTTGCAAATTGCAATACTTGAAAATGCAGCACTTCTTTTCTTTGCTTTTGAACCAGACAGTGAGTAGGCTTCTCTTAAATTGCACAAGTATTACAAATCCCTCTCATCATAATGATGCCATTTTAAAACCTGATTAGGACAAAACTCACTAGAAACCACAAACATTGAACAAGAGATGTAATAAAGTATCCATTATGCTAGAAGAAAATATTCATCATAGTAATCCATAATTTCCAGCCAAGGAAAGAGCCAGAACTGCTTCAACTCAAACTCTCAGTCAACCTGCAAATGGGATGCTGTATAGGCAAAAAATCATTTGTTTATTTGGGTAGGACTAAAGGATATCAAGGGGCATTGCACGGGCTGTACAAATAACTAATCACCTATTTCATTAATTCAAACGTACAGGCTTTCTCATGATTGTGTTTTCACAAAAACTCCAACCATGAAAAGAGGAAAAAGGAATAGATATAGAAGGGAATAATGTTAAAATGAACTTCCAAAAGACCATTGGCAAAATAAATAAAAGTTGTCAAGTTATCACTTTTTGGATGTGGATGTGCATAAATCTATAATTAAAAAAAAATGAAGGAGAAACTCGAAATTTTATTGAAATAGCTTACTGAGGACACATACCTGTTTAGATGAAACTTCATACTCTTCTTTCCAACCAGTTTGAGCCTTCTCTAAGGATGAGACTTTTCTATATTTACTCTTTAATTCTGCCAGGTTCATCTCCCTACCATCAGTAGAAAATAACAAGGGTAAACAAAAAATCAACCTGAAAGGCTCAAGGAGACTAGATGGCTATTAAATACATACCGATGTGACTCTCCAACTGGGGGACGGACTATCTTATACATCCCGGAAGTGGAACTGGAAGATAGTAAACAACAAAAAAAATGGCATCACTAAGGAGATCCTCCAAGTTTATGTGTGGCGCACAGGATGGGGTGAATTAGGTGCATTAACAAAGACATCATTTCTAGAGAGGGAGAGAGTAGATGAAGTGAAAAATTCAAAATAAGATCAAGATGGTTTAATTAAACATTTAAATCAATCCCTGATTTGATAAATACGTTCATATAGAATTTATGACAAATCAAGTGGTAAAATTTCTTCTAATTCTAGTCAAAATGAGTATTAAATGTATAACTTCAGTCTTCAGCTCAGGTGCTTTATTCATGTCACCCACCTTAACCATGGGGGGCAAAGATACTTCTTATGTAAAATAAACTCCCTATGAGTTTAAATTCAGTAAAAATGAAACTAAAATAGGGTAACAGATATATAAAAAGAAAGAATGATACCTTTCAAATGCCAAAATGAAATGGCGTCTTCCCAACCATTCCCTCTTGGACTCATAGAAGCCATCATTAACTGAACCAAGCCCGTCCTTTTGCTTTTCATTCAGCATGGTACTTGCAGTCTGACATTAAAAATAAGTAACAAATCAGAAAGATAAGTTTATCCCAGTAAAGCATCTCATTGTTTGGATCATACTGGAAGGAACAAGCACCTCCCATGTGACCCCACGATCCAAGATAAATGTAAAGAGAACTGTCGAAGCTCCAGTGAGATGATCAACATGGACTGTCTGCAATTAATACCCCGAACCCCCTTCTCCACATTAGCAATAGAAAAGACTCAATTTTATTACATGAGCGGATGAAAAAATTCTAGCACAGCAAACCTTTGGAGTCCCTTGTAATTCAATGACATTAGCTCTCAAGTCAAGAATGCCAGTATCGAGGTTACCTTCAATGCGAGCATTCTGGATAAGAAGGTCCAAGATACTCACAAATAACTCAAATAACCTGTTAATATAGCACATTTTAGCCAATTGAACCAGATAATAAAACTGAGAGCCTCCCATTGCTTAATACAGAGAAGACAGACCTATTCTGAATCTCAGGAGGCAGTCCCAAAAGCCGGTTGAGGAATCGGCCCACGTCATGCATATCAGAATCAATAATACGACCAGATAACTTTCCAAAATCTTTACCATTACCTACAAATTTATTGAATTATTATTAGACTATGAATGGAATGAGGCATCAAAAACTATATTCCTGCAATCAACAACCAACCATAAGCTAGCTGGAAAACATTCAATTATTTTAAAATCATTCAAGCTAATGGCATGGCACAAATGGGCAGAGAGAGAGAGAGAGAGGATTACCAAGCATTGTGTCCCTAACTATTCCAACAGATACAAGAGCAGCTTTCGCTTTAATAATAAAGTCCTGAATTGTGTCTGGTCTGTCAGATATGCATCCCGGTGGTACAACCGGCAGAGAATCCTGAAAACAATTTTTGTCAGTGTACGGATTTAAGCCAATCTTTTGCTATATTTAGAATAGCGATGTGCGTGTTCTTCATATGCTAAGAAATCATCAAACCTGCTCCATTATTCCTTTGTACATAATCATTAGAGCTCTCTTTCCATAAGCACTGTCATAATTATATGCACTTAAGGAAGGTCCAGCCCTGTATCAGATCCATCCATATGGTGAGGAACATCAAGAAATATGCCAAGAATCACTCATGTCATCTCAATATAAACAGAAAACAGATGAATCCAACTT